TATGTAGTATCTTTTGCAAGTACTCACAGCTTCTAGACTTTATGTCTGTCAAGAGAAATATGTAGATGGATAGGGTTGGGCATGATGTTCGAGTTGAACATAAGTTCGACTCAAACATCTGCTATTCATGTGTTCAGCAAACACATGAACGGTAAGGGTGTTCGGCGGGCATTGTGATTGGCCAAAGCAATGCACCTAACCACAGGTTAGATGCAATACTTTTGCCAATCACAGCACATGATGATGCCACAAGGGGTGGAGCCACCTGGTGACGTCAACCAGGTGACCTCGCCCCCTTGTGACATCTTCACAGTATTGAAGAACTGTCTTGCTGGTGCAGCTGTCAGACAGCGAGAGCCAACAGCGAGAGCGGAGCTTTTTTTTTTCTTTTTTAGTGTCAGCAGTGTCGGCGGGCATTGTGATTTATGTTGGATCTACTTCAAGGGACTTTTTTTTATTTTTGTTTTTAATAAAGGACTTGTCAAAGACTGTCTTCTGTCATTTTTTACACTACACTTTTTTGGGGAATGAGTAGTGGTAATATGTACCCCATACTCATTCACATAGGGGGAGCAGGATCAGGGGGCCCCCTTGTTTAAGAGAGCTTCCAGATTCCGATAGGCCGCCCGCAGACTTCCACAACCCCTGCCTCAGTTGTGGGAAAGAGGCCCTTGTTCCTATCAACAAGGGGACAAGGTGCTCTGGGGGAGAGGCCTGTTGAGGACATATGGCCTGGTATATTCAGGAGGGGGGGGGCGCTCGCTCGTCCCTCCCTTTCCTGACCTGCCAGGCTGCATGCTCGTATAAGGGTCCAGTATGGATTTTGGGGGCGGACCCCATGCCATTTCTTTTTTAGGTTTTCCGTGGGGGTTCCCCTCAAAATCTATACCAGACCAGAAGGGCTTGGAATGGATGAGGGGAACCCCACGCCATTTTAAAAAAAAATTTTAATTGCTGGCAATTCTTTTTACATTCAGCTGTCAGCGAGGAACCCCACTGAGAGCTGAAACATTAAATAATGTTTTCACTACTAAAATACTGCATGCTTCAATAATATAACTCAGAATTTTAGTAGCTGTGTGATATATTACCGCTTACTTGGATGTGGTAAGATACCACTTAGTGAATTGTCTTAGTTCGAAGTTCGCAGTTGAACTTTAGTTAGGTTCAAATGTTCGACCTCGAACCAAACATTGGGGTGTTCGGCCCATCATTATAGATGGGTGGTGAGATTTTCCGTTTGACATTCCTGATCATTATCTGTAGCTCTATGAGGGACAGGGGTTCAGTGCTTTTTCATTTTAGAGCTACAAGGCATCTAGCCTCTGTAAAGTGTACAGTATGTGAGAACAGCATTTTACTGGTTCCTATTTAAACCTACAAATTAAATAGTGTTACTAAACAATTTTTATAGTTCTGGAGATAAAATAAAGAGTTGAAGAGGAGTAGGCCTGAAAGCTGGAATCCTAATCCTGCCACTGTCACTGACTAACTAGAAGAAGCAAAGTCCTCTTTGTAGGCTCTGTCCTTGAACATATTATTGGCAATAAACATATTTAATAGCAGAAACAATATTTGAAGATAAATACAAGAAATCCAATAAGCTGTGAAATTCTCTTAAGTGTCATTCACCAATAAAAAGTAACAGTGTTCCTAACAGAAGATTTAAAGTAGAACTGTGACCAGGCATTTTTCCTCTGCAGTATTTTTTCTGATGGTAGGTGTCTAAAGGCCAGCATTATTCAATTCTCTTCCTCTTCACCCAGGTCTTCCTGGACCTGCTCCTGCCTGTGACTGGACAGTGAAAGGAGAAGCAGCACAGCGATGAACTCATCTCTCTATCACCTGCCAGCACATCGACTGATTAGATCCTTGTGTTGTTTCTTTCTCTCACACTCCAGCCCTGCAAGGGATTGCAAGAGTCTGATCAAAAGTCAAATTCAGGTACTTAGTGTATATGCATCATAAGATTGCAGGTGCTCCTTTACTGTCCAGCTGTCTCCAGTCCTTTAAAAATAATATTGTCTCTCACAGGTTGTTGTGTTACCCCTTTACACTGGCCACAGTGAAATGAACCATGATGCCCAGGTGTGGCTTCAATCTTGACACACTGTGACTGGCTGCACCAGCCTTACATCTCTGAGAGACCTGCCTTCTAGCTCCCCATTGTCAGTAGTTGATCCTAGCTGTCAGTGACAGCTCAGTCACAATTCTGGGGTACCAACGAAGCACGCCCAGAACAAAATGCATATGTAACAGATAAGCATTAAGGCCCTCCTGCCTTGCCTCCACATAAATGTGTAATGCTGCCATAAAACGGTTTAAAGATGTGCTGCATCCATGTCCTATAGTGGTGGGAATGGATCCCCAACCTACTCTCCTTTAGGAGAGTAAGGGGAGGGTAGAACCCCTGTCAGATTTTTTTATCTGTCTATCTCACTGTTGCATATTTTCCTCACTTCCTGTCTGGTGAAACTGATGTCAGCAGGAGAGGAAGTAAGGGTAAATCGTAACCTACTGAAAATGATTTATCTGCCTAAGTTCCTATATTTGTTTTAGAAATATGCCTGTTTGCACACCCAAATCCTTTTTTAATAAGCTGGATGGTATTGTGGGCTCATTTATATGGGCTGGCAAGGCTCCCCCGGCTAGCCAAGAAAACAATGAGACTCCATCCTCTCACAGGGGGATTTTCTCTGCCAGACTTCTGTCTTTACTATTGGTCAGCGGTATTGGTTACATGCAATGGTGGTTGTTGCAGCCAAGGGACAACCCGGCGGTTACGCTGGAGGCAGCCATTGTTGGCTCTTATGCTACTCTTAGTAATTTAGTCTTTTGAGGCCTGCAGGCCCCTTCTGTCTGTCTGATGAGAAGCACTATCATGTGTGGCAACAAGTGAGGGCGCAGTATTGCCAGCCTTCTAGGTTTTTCCCTCAAATTTCCCTTTGAGACAATCCTACCCTGCCTCATCTGGCTATGTTTCCCAATCCTCCCCTCAAGGGATAGCAAGACTCAAACATATCAGGTCTAATGGCAAGCTGCGCAGCTTTGAGGACCTTCAAGCTGAATTTCACCTGCCTAACCAGATGTTTTTGAGCTATCTGCAACTCAGATATGCAGTGCACAAGCCATTTCCAGCTGACGTTACCTATGAATCTAATCTCTTGGAGCATATCTTGATTTCTAGGACCACGGGGAAGCCTTTGTCCTTGATCTACCTTTGCCTTACTGTGGCCCACTTGGTGAGACTGACTAAGCTGTTGACCAAATGGCAGATTTACCTGATTTAACTGAGGAAGACTGTGATGTGTGTACCACTCATCATGTCACCAATATGGTCTCGGCCAAAGATAGGTTAATTCTGGTTAAATTTACCAACAGAACCTACTATACTCCTGTCCGCTTGGCTGGTATATACACCTCAGTCAGTCCCCTATGCATCCAGATGCCAGCAAGCTGAAGGTAACATCTATTACATGGTCTGGACTCAGGAATTTTGGGACATCTGACTTGAATGTCAATAATGACGCTTATGATGATTTGACCTTATCTCTAGACCCTAAGGTGTTGCTTTTGGGAGTGATGAATGGGGCAGAACTCTGTTGTTATGTCAAACTATTTTTATTTTTTGCTTCCTTTTATGCAAGGAGGGAAATCTTCCTTAAATGGAAATCCCCTATGCTTCCGACTGCTGAATCTTGACGTGCAACTATTAATATGGTGTTACCTCTGTACAAACTCACCTATAATTGTCGCAACTGTCCTAGGAAATTTGATAAGATATGGAAGACCTGGATAGATTCCTGGGGAGGTTATTTAAAATCTGATTGAGCCTCAGATACCTACTGCCATTCCCCTCCTTTAGTACTTTGACTCACCTCCTCCCCTTTCCCCCCTCCCTTTCCTTACCCCTCTCTTTCCTCTTCTCCCTCTCCTGCATCTCCCTTATTCTAACTGTTCCTTCCCTCCCCTGTACCTCATTTTCTCTTTCCATGCCCCCTCATAACTTTCCCACTTGTTGTTGTGGCTCCTAGGTTGGTGACTTGAGAGAATGGTTGTCATTTTTCTTGTTGTCTCTGGATTATATTGATACTTTGGTATATGCATATGTGAATCTTGTATTTTTTGTTTTGAATGACTCATGCCCATGTGTCTTTACTTTTGCTGTACCCATCATGTGCACTGTATTGACTGTTTATTTACTGGTTGTTGCTCATTGTCAATCACATATCTGTATTGCATTTCTGTGCTTAATAAACCCTATCTGTTACAAAAAAGGGGTAAATAGTAAAAACCCAACATAAGTTCTAATTCTTACCCACTCTATCCAATACTAAAGGAAAATGTTTCTGACTTGACATACACTTTAAAGAGACATTGTCTCCATCCTCCAACCCACTGATATTCACCTATGCCACTTCCCTGATGCTCATTTGTCTGTAGAAAGTAGCCAGTACTTACAGGTATTGGGGTACTTTGTTACCTGCTCCTGTGTCAGAGTGCCTCCACTCTGCATGAAGAAGTACAGAGGCACCTTTGGACAGAGGCATTGCCATTGTGGGAGGAGGAAAGTGCTAGATGGACTAGCAGATATAAATCAGTGTTGCCAACATCAGTAAATTTATGGACAGCTTCTAAAAACCAGTGATTTTTACAACTGTTCATAAATGTCCATAATGGACATTTTCTGTCAGAAAAAAATCAGGGCCTTTTGGGGGAATACTGGCAGACGTCTCCTCCAAATGGGAGCATTGGACAGGTGCCAGTCATGGAAGGAGCAGTTGGCTGCATGTGCCGATACTGTTCCTGTAGTCCCGGCTGCAACCCCGTCACAACAAAGTGATCTGTCCTCTGCCTCTTTCCTCACAGCTTCACTTCCACTGGGAATGCTGCTGCTACTGTGCCAGTGTATGCTCTCTCCCAAGAAAAAAAAAAACCTCTATCAATACACACCAAACTGAGCATGTGCATGTGGCTACGGGTTTAGTCTGCCTTATCAGGAGATAAGACGTGCACATTTGAACAAGAGCAGGGGCAGAGAAAAGAGGATCAAATGGCCTTTCTACACAATGCAGAGGATTAACCCCTCAGGTTCCACAGTGAGTATAACAAGCATGCTTTACTGCATATACAGACTGATTTTACTGTTGTGGATTTAGTAACACTTTAACTAGTATACTACTGGAGGGGGGGAGCACAGGTATCCTGCACTGCTGTCACTGCACTTTGCATTGATTTATTATCCTCAGGGCTTGTCATTCTAATGTCATTCTACAACTGGACAACTGGAGGGGCCCCTAGAGTGGAGGTAGCAGTCTCTCTATGGAGAGGCCTCTGGACTGGAAATTGCAGTCTGTCTATGGAGGAGCCCCTGACCCCTGGACTGGAGGTGGCAGTCTCTCTATGGAGAGGACCTTTATAGAGAGACTGCTACCTCCAGTCCAGGGGCCCTCCCATAGAGAGATTGTCATCTGCAGTCCAGGAGCCCCTTCATAGAGAGACTACCAACTTCAGTCCAGGGGCCCCTCAATAGAGAAACTGTCATCTTCAGTGTGAGGGCCCCTCCATAGAGAGATTGCCACCTCCAGCCCAGTGGCCCCTCCATAGAGAGACTGCCACCTTCAGTGTGAGAGCTCCTCCATAGAGAGATTGCCACCTCCTGTCCAGTGGCCCCTCCATAGAGAGACTTCCACCTTCAGTCCAGAGGCTCCTCTATAGAGAGGCTGCCACCTTCAATCCGGGGGCCCATCCATAGAGAGACTGCCACCTCCAGTCCAGAGGCCCCTCCATAGAGAGTCTGACATCTTCAGTCCAGGGTACCCTCCATAGAGAGATTGCCACCTCCAGTCCAGGGGCCCCTCCATAGAGAGACTGCCACATTCAGTCCAGGGGCCCCTCCATAAAGAAAATGCCACCTCAATTCCTGGGGCCCCTCTGTGGGATAGAAATTACTGTACATCTTCTAGTTCAAGGGTCTTTCACATTAACCAGATAGAGGTAGGTGGTTAGGGGGCAGTTCTGTTTAAGCGTCCTCTTTTAAGTCACTTCCATTGTTTGATGCAATCTGGTCGTGCCCATTGCTCTTGATGGCATGCAGAGCAGAACTTGTTTGTCATCTGTACCACAGGGGGGCTAATATTTTGTCATGTTGTATTGACGTTTTAAGTGTAAACCAGGCATATTACTTGTTATGGGTATTATCAGTGTTTCCATATCATACAGTATTTATACTGTTAAATATCAATTGTCTTAGTTATAAGTTCTGTCATTTTTCAGGTTGTCAGTAAATAATGTGCTCCATCAGTAAATTTCCAATGTTTTGTCAGTAAAATAAAATCATGGGAGGTTGGCAACGCTGATGTAAATATACTAACAAATTGAAGCCAAACTCCAACTCACACTTTAAAAGTAGCTACAAGCAACAGTTTTATTTCCTTTTGGGATAAATGTATTACATAAATAAAAGCTGACCATTGTAAGCACCCCTGTTATTGTGAAATGATTTGTCTCATCCCTGTAACTGATAAATCTGCAAGAAAGCTTGTTCTTTTGAAAAATAACAGATGTACTGGCTGAATCACCGGAAGACAATAGCAAAAAGAAAACCTAAAAAAGAAAACTAGTAATGCCATCACATCTAAGAATTGGCAAGCTGCAATATAATAGGTATTTTGTTTTGAGTTTAATGCTGCTTTAATATAAGCTCTGACACTGATTGCCAAAGAGCCCACAAAGTATTTAAACCCACAGCCCTGAAGGAGTGGCAGGGTTGCACAAATAAGACAAACAGAATGAGTATTAGTGAGCAAGATTAGTATTAGTGTGTGTGTATGGTGATTTTTGAAGAGAACCTGTCAGTTTGCCGGCAATGGACACAGTGGCAAATTCTCCTTCACCAAAAACTATGAATACATGGCTTACTGATAGTACTAAAAAATAAAAGTACATAAGCCATGAAGCCTTTATATTTGTTTTTTATAAAGGTGCTTTTTATATCCAAAGATTGCAAGGAGACCAAAAAAAAGAATATTTTGCTGTTTGACTGGGTGACTCCAAGAGTATTCCCATCATACTGGCCACTATTTTATATAAAGGCAGCTTGCACTCCAGTGCTGGTCATGTGGGTTTACCTTTACAGACAGGTATATGAATCTGTAAGGGGCCAGCACTGGGGTTGGAGTGTCCATACTAGACACTCCTTCCTCAGTATGCTCCCTTCCTCCCTGGCTACAGGGATCGCCGCACAGACAGGCACATGGCCAAAGGGTTTTTTTTTAGTAGAGAGAAGGGGAGCCTGATGGGAAACTGAGAGACTAGCACCCCAACAGATCTGTCTGACTGTTGATTGACAGTGCATGACAGACGCTATTTGGCTTTCAAATCTACCCACTGTTATCAACTGTCAATGAAAAGTAAGGCGGACCCAATCAGGAACTCTACTCTGAGTTCCACAGCAGGCTCCACCCACCAAATGATACAAGTAATTTCCCCAATAGAGGTATTGCCATATTTTTTATAATGGCATTACCACTATCCCTGGCCACTTTGGGTACATTTAGTATTGGGTGTGAGGATCTCCTGGACAAAAGCTTCCCAGCACAGCCATGCTCCACTCTGTATACTGTATGCCAGCTCAGAGATGGTCTTAATTATCACCGATTTTCTAATTTGTGAACTGGTGGTAAGTATTTAAGAATTTATCGCTGTCATAGTCACAGGTTCTTAAAGTAGCAATACTAAGAACTACCTGAATTTGTCGCCCATGTAAGCAATGTTATCAAAACTGGTACAAATGCCTGAATTAAGAGTAGGTAGTTCTGTAGGAAACTTCTACCAGAAAAGTATCCTGCATGGCTTAGTGAATTCCCCTCCTTTTGTTCAATCCAATGCTATCCCCTAAAAAGAAGAAAATCCTCAATTTATCACTTAGCTACTTTCCTGTACATTATTATTATTACTACCCTTACATGTGCAAATAAATATATTACTTTTTGCTCTGTCTCACCTTTGCTGAATTTGAAATAATTTTGAAATGATTCCAGAATCACTTCTCAGTTGCAATGTTTTGTTTGACTCTTTAATTAACATCTGGAAATATTAATGGTAATGGCATTCTGAGAATTGGAAACATTTCCTTTGCTAAAGCAGAGCATATGTAATTTCTGTGGAACAGACGACAAGTCAAAAACAAGGAATAAGTGAAGTTGGTTTAAATAGATTAATAACTTACTACATTTTTTATGTATAGAATAAATTGAAATGTTTGGCACTCATTTAAACATTTTATTTGATTATGTTTGCATATTTACCACTAGTTATGAACAGTGTTACTCTATATGTAGTTTAAATCAAATGCTTTTTTTAAAAATGTTTAGCAAGTCAATGGAAAGAAGATACATGACAGGCTGAAATCTTAAACAAATTTGATCTTAAAAATTGTAACTTATATTGTCAGGTTATGTCCTCTAAAAGAACACATAAGGTTTAAGAATGGAATTTGCAAGAGTCTTGGCAGATGTATGTAGGCAGGGATTAAATTACCATTCCTTTATTTTAGGAGTTCTTCTTAACCACTTGCCGCCCTGCCACTGTAGAAATACGGCAGCAGGGCGGCACTAGCAAGCAAAACCACCTGTTTTGTAAACAGATATCTGGGGGTGCTCGCGAGGCGGTAAACAGTGACAGAGAGCACAGCTGCAGTAGCTGTGCTGTCTGTCACTTCCTTGTCAGCTCGAGGACGAGCTGATCGAGACAGAAGAGTTTCTCTCTCTCGATCAGCCTTGTCCTGTCCAGCACACACCCCCGCCCCCTAGTAAAACACTCCCCCTCACTCAGATAACCCTTCCCTGCAAAATAAAGTTAACCCCTTCCTCCCCAGTGCCATTTGCACTGATCACTATATTAGTGTTTTTGGGGATGTCAGTGACCCCAAGTCAGTACCCCCCAATGTCAGAATGTCCGCAGCAGTCCCGCCATAAGTCGCTGGTCGCTGCCATAAGTCACTGATCGCCGCCATAATTCACTGATCGCCGCCATTATTAGTATAAAAAAAACCCTAAAAATCCCAGTATCTTTCCCGCCATTTGTAAACGCTATAACTTTCACGTAAACCAATTAATTTACACGTATTGTTTTTTTTTTTTAGCAAAGACATGTCGCAGAATGCATTTTGGCAGAAATTTATGACTAAATTTGATTTTTGCATTTTTTTTTTACTGGACAAGTTTTATAGCAAAAAGTCCAAAATATTTTTTTTTTTTTTTCCTCAAAATTGTCAGCCTTTTTTTTATAGCGCAAAAAATAAAAACCGCATAGGCGATCAAATACCACCAAAAGAAAGCTCAATTTGTGGGGAAAAAAAGGATGTAAATTTCATTTATGTACCATATTGCATGACCGCGCAATTGTCCGTTAAACTAGCGCAGCGCTGTATAGCAGAAAAATGGCGTAAGTTGCAGTATTTATACCATAGTTTGTAGACGCTATAACTTCCACACAAAGCAATCAATATACACTCATTGGGATTTTTTTTACCAAAAACATGGAGCAGAATACATTTTGGCCTAAATTTATAACCAACTTTGAGTTTACTATATATTTTTTATAGCTGAAAGTAAAAAATATTGTTTTTCTTCAAAATTTTTGACCTTTTTTCTTTATAGCGTGAAAAATAAAAAGCGCACAGATGATCAAATACCACCAAAAGAAAGCTCTATTTGTGTGAAAAAAAAAGGACGTAAATTTCGTTTGGGTGCAGCATTGCATGACCGCGCAATTATCAGTTGAATTAGTGCAGCGCCGAGTAGCAAAAAGAGGCCTTGTCATTAAGGGGGGTAAATCCTCTGGAGCTCAAGTGGTTAAGAGCTGATTAACACATGTGCGGTGCAGATTGAAGCTCAGGTTTCACAGCTAATTGATACAGTAGTTATTCAATGGTTCGTGTCAGGTTTACATCAGGTTCAGGACAGGATTAGCTCTCAGAATTATCCTGTTCACACATATGCGATTTAGAAATGGTTTCCATAGACGTCATTAGCCTGTAATCTGCACCTAAACCGGACTGCACTGCTCAGAAATCGTACATGACTCTTTTTCAAATCACACTGAATCCACACCACCAATGCACTGGTGAACAGGTAACATAGGAAGTAATGCTTTTTCACATGT